ATCAATATAAATACTAATCCAGCTTACATTAGTGTGTTTTGAAAAAGGCAAAAAAAAAAAAATTGTTTTGTTGATTGTAAGATTTTATGTGGAGATAACAACTTTAAACTTTAAGTAATTTTTAGTAATGAGACTGGCCCAGTAAAATCCATTTTGACTATCTATGATGTCCAAATAATAAAATACTTGTCACTCAACTCCATAGAGAAATTTTCAGCAAAGCTAGAGCTAAATACTTTACATAGGGGAGAGCGGGGCACAATAACACATTTTGGTTTTGGCTCAATTATTAAAAAATTATTAAGTTAGATTCAACTTTTTTTTTACACAAGCAACATACACATCTCTGCTACAAATGAACACAAAGTTTTTTTCTAGGACCTACCATTTTCGTACTGTTGCACTGAAAGTGACAGAAGTGCAAATGTTACAACTTACCCCATATGCGGGGTTAATTGTAACACACATAATTCAGTACTATTTTATTTGTATAGTTTGATATTGTTTGTGCATCTGTATAGATAGATATCCATACATCCATCCCTCATCCAATCATCCTTCTATTATGGATCAATATCATGGATAGAGACATAGAAAAGGGCTGCACAGTTTTGCAATAAATAAATAAAGTCATCAAATATTGTAATTGCAATTGAATTAGATTTGTGTGTGGCAGCTGCATGTAAAATTATTATTATTAATAATAATAGCAGTAATACAAATTAGCTTAAAATCAAAATTTAAAGGGTTTATTGTATTAAAAACAGGCCATATTTTTAATAAATAAACAAGTGATCAATGCATAGTAAACAGAATTTTAAACATTTTAAATTCCAACATTGTTTGTGAAAGTCCAACAAAGTTAAATATATAAATACTCAAACCTAAAAAGTTGTGTGGCTCCCTGTTTTCATTTGATTTGATGATCATTATACACTTGGCGGCTTAGTTGTAACACTGTGCTACAACTAACCCCGCTGTGTAAAACATATTTTAAGCCTAGCTAGGAGTTGCTGACATGTTTCAAAACGGTGCTATGTTTTAGCAAACAAGACAGTGATTAAGGCAATATAAAGTTAGATTTGGAAACGTAGCCTACACACCCAACTCAGAAACCGAAAAAAACCTATGATGAAAAAATGTACTTGCATATGGTGTCAAAACACTCTTTGTCCAGTATCTTCACGAAATATTATCGAAACTTTCCACAAATTCGCGGGAGACCGTCTTCTGGCAGCGAGAGAAAAAGAGCGGAAACAAGGGGGCTTGCTTGATCCCAAGGGGGTAATCCATCAGCCGGAAGTTGAAGCTGCCTCCGGGGGCCGCCATTGTAGCTGGCTATCACCTGCTGTTAGCATCCCATTGACTCCCATTCATTTTGGCGTCACTTTGACAGCGAATAACTTTACATCTGAGGCGTCCAAAGACTCCATTTGTCCATTATTTATTTCTAAAGAAACACGACAATGTATAAAAGGCTCCATTACTTTGTATCTTACGTTATGGCCCCGTAGAAGCCATTCTTGTAAAAATAGGCTAACGATTGCGTCATAACCACGGGACGCTCTGTTGCACAGTAGAGAAATTACCGTACAGACAGAAGTAGAAGCTCGTCGGCAATCGTTTACTGTCTATGAGGCAATCGGGTGGACATGGAGGCATAAAGTCAAGGGAGAAGCCCATAGATAGAGAGTTCATAAAAGCAACGGGACAAAATATTTCAACAACAGATTTGTTTCAAATTTCAATTCAGATTTGACCCGGCACAGCTACTAGAAGGTCTGAACGGTTGCTCACGTGACAACTACGTCGTCAAGCTCAGTTTGAGCCTGCGCAGAACGCTTGGCTATCAGGAAGTGAGTGCCCATGCTGGGCTTCAACTCTCTCCGTTGAAATCGACAACGTCGCTGTGTCCATTTCTTTTACTGTCTATGCTTGATCCTGACTAACTATGTAAAAGGTCCGTGTTACATTTAACCCCGCGTTTGGTTGTGCCCCGCGCTCCCCTAATCTTCTTGTAGTCATCTATCATTTATTCAACTGGAAGATTTTGAACGACTCTAACATTATAACCTTTTATTATCTTGTTTTGGCACTTTGAAATAGCATATTGTATAGTATTTATCATCCCTCTTTGTCATTATCATTGCCACAAATTCACATTTATGAGCATTATGCCATAATTGAGATACACTTTATTTAAATACTGTCAACAATCATTTAAAAACATAATGTTTTCCATGAATCCCACTAGCCTGGGTTTCCCCATAGGCCTACTGCCTTTACGCAGCGCGATTTTATTCACGCTGCAAGGCAGTCTGGATCATAGATATCCATAATATATATCTATGGTCTGGAGACCATGGACCAAATTTTCGCCTCAGCGAGGGGACCAATCACAGAATGGGGAGGGAGCAGCAAGACGATGACGACGCAGTTTGTTTAAAGGGTTAGTTCACCCAAAAATGAAAATTCTGTCAGTATTTACTCACCCTCATGTTGTTCCAACCCCGTAAGACTTTCGTTCATCTTCGGAACACGAATTAAGGTATTTTTGATGAAATCTGACAGCTGGATCACTCCTCCATACTAGTCCATAGGCTTCTTCAGGGATTGAACTTGCCAGCCTCGAAAAGTTATTAAAGACATCGTTAAAATAGTCCAAGTGACTACAGTGGCTCAATCTTAAGTTTATCAAGCGACGAGAATACTTTTTGTGCACAAAAACAAACAAAAATAACGACTTTATTTCAACTATTCATGTCCTTCTCTTTGGGCCTCTAGTCAGTTAACGTAGTGTGATTCCGTAGAGCTACGTCACACGTAGGCTCACTATTGGCCGACGCTGGTCATGTGCGTGATGCGTGTGACGTACAACAACAGAAGCTTACGCTATTACACTAGTGAACTGACTCGAGGCCCAAAGAGATAGACATGAATAGTTGAAATAAAGTCGTTATTTTTGTTTGTTTTTGCGCACAAAAAGTATTCTCGTCGCTTGATAAACTTAAGATTGAGCCACTGTAGTCATTTGGACTATTTTTAACGATATCTGTAATAACTTTTCGAGGCCGCCAAGTTAAATCCCTGAAGAAGCCTATGGAGGAGTGATCCAGCTCTCAGATTTCATCAAAAATATCTTAATTCGTGTTCCGAAGATGAACGAAGGTCTTACGGGGTTGGAACAACATGAGGGTGAGTAAATACTGACAGAATTTTCATTTTTGGGTGAACTAACCCTTTAATACCTATCATGGATCAAACATGGCAGCAGACGCGAAGTTACCTTTCGATGCAGCCTTGGATATTGTTCTAAGTAGCTAGTTTAGAACGCAAATAAATCTCTGACCCATCGTCTTCTTCCTCGTCTAATTTATTTCGCTCTACACACGTCATCTGGTATAATTGAACATTTGATACATTCGTAAACCACGCCTCAAATACGAGAAAATGAACATGTGGTTCCTCCCAGACATTTTGAGACGTGGTCCGACGTTAGCCAGGCTAGACAGCAAACTGAAGGAAATTGTTCAGTGTAAAAATGACTTGTGACCACTCCTTTCTAAAATATTGGCACAATATGATCATGTCCGGTTTGTTTTTTTTATTTGTGTGTGTTTGTTTTATAGCAGGGCAGGTTTTTTAGAGAACTGAAACTGGCATGACAGTAACACACCAAGCACCTAATGCTCTAAGTCCTGCCCTATCTCTCACCCAGATATCATAGCAGTCACACATCTTAACATCGCTTTCTGAGAAACCAGCTTCTCCAATAGGCACTACCCTTTAATTGTCACAGGCCTGAAGCTGCATTTGAAGGGCTCATGCCTGCAGAGGTGCTGTTGCTTGGCAACAGTTCCGTCAGAACCACAGTAAGGTGTGAATGTGGTTTCTGAGACGTCCGCTTTCTCTCTCTCTCTCTCTCTCTCTCTCTCTCTCTCTCTCTCTGTACTCTGTTGTTTGCCTGTTCTACTCCAGCTCAAAACAACTTTGAACATTGTTCCTTATCTTCACAATAATAGGACTAATGCATGTGATTACATTTGTCATGTTTTAGTCGAGGCTCTGTGTATGGCGTGACTTTCCATAAAGAGGAACTTACAGCAACAGGAGGTGTTGAAAACGGTGACCTCATTGCAGTTGTCAGTGTGCTTGACCGCTGCCTGTACAGCTGAAATTACTGTTTGAATCTAAAGTCATGTACTGCACTCTACTGTAAACATTGGCTTCTTTTGTTAAATGTTTCATGCGTAACAGGCTCGTTTTTGGAGGGAGTGAAACAGTTAGGCCATGTGGTTGTGAAACAAACAAACAAAGATAACTCTCTCCCAACTCACACTCCATTGTCTCTGTCTCAGCTGGCTGATCTTACATGCAGCTCTCAGTTTGTAACTTTTATAAATCAGTAGTAAGGCATTATGATATTAGACATGGCCTAATTACTAATAGGAATTATGGTAAAACTTTAGTTTAGCGTCCAATTCTCACGATTAACTAACTATTAATTATGACTTTTGTCAAAAAAAGCCACTCCTAATTACTGCTTACTATAGTTAGTATGTTAAGTTGTTAAGTTTAGGTATTGGGAAGGGTTAAGGGCTGTAGAATAGGGTCGTACAGAATAAGGCATTAATATATGCTTTTTAAGTAGGCTACTCATAAACAGCCAATATCCTAGTAATATGCATGCTAATAAGCAACTAGTTAATAGTGAGAAGTGGACCCTAAACTAAAGTGTTACCGGAATTATTACTGATCTCACTGCTTTATGTATGTAAAATGACAATATGTATATATATATATATATATGTATCAGTGACTTAAGTGATTGTTTATCTCAAGAAATACAAAATAATTCCTCGTGCTCTTCAGGCTGAAGATGTTCTGTATCACTGAGTATGTAAGTAACAGGTAATTTGGTTTGTTTTGGTTACCATTTCAACCAAAGCTAGCTCTTAAAAAAAGAAGTTCCTGTCTAGTCATGTGACTTCCTCAAGCGTTTAGTTCTCCACTCCAGCGATCAGAGAAGAGCTTTTCTTCTGCCTCTTCCTCCTCTGGTGGCTTTTGTCGTTCTCTGAGTGGAGCACCGTGGCAGTGAGACAGTACAGGAGTTAGTTCAGCACAGTCGAGTGTCATACTGCCACATCTATAGTTGTGGTCCTCAGAGTCAGGAGAATACTGCCCACCCACAGCTGGATCAACATGTTACGGCGGAAACCATCCAACGCATCTGAAAAGGAGCAGGCTCAGGTGCAAAAGAAGAAGGTAAGAGTTTGTGCCTTAATCTGCGTGTGCGGCCCAGTTTTGAAGAGTTGAAGCGAGAGTAGAAATGATGTTCTTGGAGGACCCCTCTGGAGGTCTGCATTCCCAAGAAAACGCAAACACACATAATAGGCTGTTTAAACACAAAAAGTAAATGAAATGCATCAGAGCAGAACACATGTGCTTTTGTTGCTGATCGTTTGAATCAACAGTAGGGTTTTTCAAATGTTTTCATTCATTAATGTGAATAATAGTCCTATTGTAATGTGTCCCGTTTGTCTTCAGACCTGTCATTCTTAAGATTAAGAACTGAAACTGTATGATTGTTCTGGGTTTATGCACGGCTGTGCAGCAGTTCCTGTAGAAACACATTAGACCGCAGCACACATCCTGAAGCGGTTCATACCTCATCAGAGCAATGCATCCAAACACATCTCCTGAATTCAAAGTGACGCTTATGTACATCTTCACAGCCCGCTCCACTCAGCTTCTTCTCGTTCAGCGGTTAACTGCTTCTATAGCATTACTCTTATTTTCCATTTGATTCACATCTTGCGTGCATGTGACAACCAACAGTTTCGATATTTCTCCTCTCTGAAACTGCAGGTGTTTCATAAATGCATGTAACCCAAGCAAAGCGAGATCGGAAAATCTTGCTGTTGTGCATCACGGCTACTTTGAAGTCTTTAGTTTATATTTTTTTAAACCAAAGTCTTAAATTCTTATCCAGAGCAGAGGATGTAGCATACAGTTGAAGGTCATTGGCATGGTGTGAATGAAAACACTTCACCACCACATAATCTCAAAATGCTGCCGTTTCCTCTTTGGTCATGGTTTAGATTATGAGTAATAATTTCAGTCGAGATCTGTCAAAAATACATTTTAACATCTTATGATGATGCAGAAGAATGTTGTCACAGTTTTGGGGAAATTAATAGGGAAGGTTTGTTAATAATTTGACATGTTACACTATGATTTCCGCAACAGTGTAACTATTTAATTTAATATGATTTTCAAAGAGAAGCAAACTCTTGTCATTTTACTAGTTTTGACCAGCTGAACAATCTCTTCTTGCATTTGGTTGGTTTAGCAGATTGCAGTCTGTTGTGTGTTGTCTAGATACTAGTGCACAGCTCTGCAGGGATTGGCTGCGACATGCCCACTTCCTGTGCTGAAGAAAAGTGGCACAGTGAAAGGTTTAGATAACAGAAAAAGTCAAATTGGAACAAATATGCACAGCAGCCCACAAAACTCACACTGAATGATTTTATCATTAATAAAAAACGGCCTTAATTATGAATGAATCAACTCTGGTTCTACTCTAACAAGCCACACTTTGCAGAACACTGTATCTTACAGTTTAAATGCATAGGTATATATTAGCCTATAAATTAACATCATGTGATAAATAATTACATAATTACATATGGATCAGACCATGATGACCTTTGGCCCACCATGCCATATCAGAATTTGGTTACACTTTATTTCGACAGTCCAACTACGTGTCAACAAACTCTCATTAGAGTATTAGTAGACTATAGGGTTAGGGCCTGAAAAAGATGACATGTTCTTGCAAAGTTACTTAGTCAGTAGAATGTCTGTAGCGTACCATCAAAATAAAGCGGATATTAAGCAGACAGTCTACTAATACTCTAATGCTGGTAGTTGACATGTAGTTACTTAGTAGAAAGTCTACTAAGTTAGTAACTACTAAGTTAATACTAAGTAACTAATAAGTTACTAATAAGTTACTACTAAGTAATTACTTAGTAGAATGTCTAGTGGACCATTGAAATAAAGTGTTACTAAGAATATAAGTGAATTATATTTTTTATTTATTTAATGTTAATATAATACAGTTGGATATAATTCATATTCATTCCAATGGCCCTTAATTAGGCTAAGTGTGATTTTTGTCCCTTTATAGTAGGAAGTATGGGCAGATCTGATACAGACTGGCACATTGTTATTGCTATATTTTCATTACACTGACATTGACACTGTAAAGTCTCACTAAACACATTTTCCTATCTGTGAAAACCTATGACCATGACAGCTTATTTTTCATAGACAATTCAAAGGCTTTTCCACCCTACAAAACACTCATGAGTCATGTTTATAATTACATCTGGTCTATGGATCTGAAAAAGATATTGTGGATTTTTCTGCCCAAATGTTGCTCTGGAGGTTTGATAATGCTTCCAAATATTGATCAGGATATATGCTTGTGGAAATACAATAGCATTTAATGGCCATTATAACATGAGCCACAGTATCGGTTAAACTAAACTGGATTTGTTCATGATGCATTGAGATAACATTTCATCAGCATAATGCTGGATGACTCTGCTGTTCACATTTTCATTTTATTGCTCATGACCCAATGGCCTTATGGTTGAATGCATAGGACTAAATATCTCTATCCATCCATCCATCTATCCATCTGTCTGTCTGTCTGTCTGTATCTGAATACTACTGTAACTTTAAATAGTCTCTGATGAGAAACTGTTCTGTCTTCGTAGCTGTCTCTGCAAAGATCCAGCAGCTTCAAAGACTTTATGAAGCCAAAGCCATCGTCACCTGTAGTGAGCCCTGAGGCTACCTTGGATGAAACTGTAAGTGCAGTAGTTTGTTATATGGAGATGAAGTTGCTGTACTCAAGCTCCAACTCACTCCTGTCTTTTGGGTATCAAAATATTATATCATGTGTAGCTGTGCAAATTGACCAATATCTGCTGTTTCAGAGGAGAAAAACAACAGCATCAACATAATCTGTACTCATTTGCAGTCAGCATTAATATTCAACTGCTAGAATGGTTCTTAATAACTGCTTCATCTCTAAAACCACACTTTTAAAAATATCTAGACAGGATGCCATTCTTTCATGGGCCGTTCAAGCAGAGAGCCTGCTTAGCCTTCTGTCTGCTTTTTAGAGTAGACAGTGGTATAATTTTAATAATATTTAATAAAAAATTTATATACATGACCGTTCAAAACTTTTGGGTCAGTAAGATTTAATTTTGTATTAAGCAAGGATGCATTAAATTGATTAAAAGTCATTTTTGTTACAATAGATTAATGTTTAAAATGTTGCTGTTCTTTTGAACTTTCTATTCAGAGTATCCTGAAGAAAATAAAAAAATATTGATAATCTAAACTGTTTTCAACATTGGTTTCAACACGGATTTCTGAAGGATCATGTGACTACAGACTGGAGTAATGATGCTGAACATTCAGCTTTGCCATCACAGGAATAGAATACATATTACAATATATTAAAGTAGAAAACTTATTTTAAAGTGCATGTAACTGTATTTTTACTGTATTTTTGATCAAATAAATGCAGCCATGGTGAGCTTCTTTCAAAAATCCTACTGACTCCAAACGTTTGAAAAATATTGTATATATCTCACTTTTGTCATAATACATACATTTACATAAATAATAAATAATATACATTTATAATATATATATTGTTGTTAAAAGAATGTCCATTGTCTGTTTGATAAGAAAAGTGTGTTGAACAGTGTGGAATAGCCTTCTGTGGAGGAGTTAAGTGAGGTGCCGAGGTAATCAAAGGTAATGTAACAAACTGATGTAAAATCCCCATGACGCTGACAGGTACTTTTGTTTTCTGTCTGTATCTTTGATAACAACGGAAGAGCCTCTGACATTTAGAGGTATAGAGCTCAGAGAGGAGGAGCCACATTGACTCACTGACACAAAAACCACCGTCACAAACTTTACTGGAAATTCTGCATAAAACAGGGGCCCATCGCTTTAAAACTAACACTACTTATACTGTGGTTATACCACAAACAAATATGTGCTGATTCAGCTCAGCCAGGACAAACATGGCACTGATGAACCATGGCACATTAGAAATGGGTTATGAATAACACATCAAAGAACTGCAAACCGAAATTAAAAACAAGTCACAGTGAAGTTACTTGAGGTAAATCAAGGCAATAAGTTCTAACAGAGTTCTGTCTCAGTTTCTTTAACCATGGAGCCAGGAAACAGTGCACAGAACAACCAGTCTAGCAACAATTATTCATTGCCCGTAGCTCTTTTTAGACAACACAAGGGGAAGTTTGATGAGTCGATAAGACAAATTTAGTTGCTACACTGAGCAAGTGCACAGTAAAAACAGCTATTGGTGATTACTGAAAGCATCTTTTTTGTGTGAAATTTCTTACAGAAGTTTGAGGGTGCACCACCAGAGGATTCGGGTAAAAGTAACGGAAAACTTGGAAAGAAATGGAGAAATGTCATATCTCGCACAATGACCCGTAAAACATCCAAGATGGTACAGAAAGCCCTTGCAGAGGAGGGGGTGAGTTGAAAGCACAAGTATTATGTATTCTTTTACAGAATGTATTCATCCTGGGTTAATGTTAATTGCTAAATTATTTTTAGCATTTCAAGTTGTCGTGTAAATTAATAAATGATATACATTATTTTTTATAAATTATATGTTTAATTGGCAGTTATAAAATAGCCTTAAACTATAGTAGTAAATGCTATAAAGGTAAAGGTTCATGATACCTAATGCATTAACTAACTGAACCAAGTTACCATGTTTAAATTCACATTTAAAATCGGTGGTATTTTATTTATTTTATTTTTTTATTTTATTTTATTTTATTTTATTTATTTTATTTTATTTTATTTTTTTTATTTTATTTTATTTTATTTTATTTTATTATTTTATTTTATTTTATTTTACTTTACTTTACTTTACTTTACTTTACTTTACTTTACTTTACTTTACTTTACTTTACTTTACTTTACTTTACTTTACTTTACTTTACTTTTCTAAGCAACCATCTAATTCTAAGAAACACTTAATTGCAGCTTGAATGTGTCTCCCCCGTGTGGATGAAATCAGGATATTTTACACTGTCAGCACTTTAGGGTGTTTCCAGTGGTTAAAGTTAGGTCACAAAGAAATTCATGAGGATATGAATTCAAATAAACTGTAAATTGTTAAATTTGTTGATTTCAGAATGAGAGTGGGGAGGACGGCTCTATGTCTCCCATGTCTCCAAGTGACTGGATGCCAGATCTCAGTGCTGGGAACAGAACATCTGTGTGCTCCAACAGCTCAGAGGACACCATGCACACCCCTCTCTCACACCAGCTCTCTGGGTGTAAGCCATCTCAGACCGCCACAATATCTTGGCTAAACCAATATCATACAAGGCTGATTGATTTTTCCCCCCCTGATGTGCAGGTTCTGACAGACAGAGTCTGGACAGTGGCTTCAGCCAGAGAGACAGTATGAGACTGGAGGACAACACCTACACCGGGCCCTTCTGTGGCAGAGCCCTTGTCCACACTGACTTCACCCCCAGTCCATATGACATGGAATCTCTCAAACTACAGGTCAGCTTTTTCAAATGTGCTATTTTTGGACACATTTTTAGACAATGTCGACATAAAAGATTAGTTTATACAAAAACAAAAATTATGGTAGTCATTTATTTATGTATTCTTCTCTTCTTATTTGTTTTTTAATACATTTTAAATCAATTTTTATCCATTTTATATATTTTTTCCATTATTTTGTATTGTTTATGCATCTGTTGTGATTAATTTGATGAAAAGCACTGAATTATCCTTGTGTAATGTGCTATATAAATACACTTTCCTTGCTTTCTGTGTAACACAAAAAGAGTAATTTTGAGGGACTATTCAAAAAATTGGTGTAGATTTTTATTCCGAAATTTCACAAAGAATACAAAGAAAAAGCAAGGAACACATTGAATGGCATTTTGAAGTAGAAAGACTTTCATAATAATAGAATAGTATTTTCTATTCTATTCAAAAGATACACCAATAATCTTTTATTTACAACTTTGAAAAAATGTATATTTTTATAGTGCTGGCTGCCCTTTTTTATATACAATTACAATGCACTGAAGCCTTCAAGCTTTAAAATGTAAAAGTATCAAAAAGTGGTCTTTTTAGAAAATATAGCACATCAGTTTTGAAGCTTGAAAACTGCAGTCCCCAATCACAAGATAAAAAGCAACCAGTACATTATTCGTACTGTTTCATGGGCGAAAGTCAAAAAAGTATAAAATAACAGAATTTTGGGGGATTACTAATCCTAAAAAAAAAAAAAAAAATTGTATATTGTATGCAGTGCATTGATATTTTTCAAAACACACAGAAAGGAGACATCATCCAGATTATTGAGAAGCCACCAGTAGGCACCTGGACTGGTAAACTCAATAACAAAGTGGGCTCCTTTAAATTCATCTACGTCACAATACTACCAGAGGAGGACACGCCACCAAAGAGGAAGCGATGCTACAGTCACGGACGCCAGAAACCCAAACCAAAAACCTTGGAGGAAGTTCTGGAGAGAATAGGCCTAACTGTAAGCCTCAAGTTACTTTCATTGCTGTTTTCTTTTAAATTTGTGTGCCATTTCATCATAGTGCAAGAGGATCTGCTCTTTGACTTCTTATGATTGACCCCTGTGTGCCCAGGAACTGGGATCTCTCCTGTCCATGCATGGCTTCCAGAGCTTGGAGGACTTCACCGGCCTGAAGGAGTCTCACCTGAACGAGCTGAACATCACAGACCCTGAGCAACGTGTGAAGATATTGAAAGCAACAGAACTGCTTCATGACTGTACGTCCAAGTAGAGCCATCGAGTCTAGACTGTAATCCTAATTGTGTCCAACATAGTTATAATTGAAGTCTGTTTGATGTACTAACATCCTTTCTGTTCTCCAGCGGAGGATGAATCCGATACCGAGGAGCAAAAGACTGAAATGCCACGGGACTCTGGTTGTTACGAGAGCACAGAGAATCTGGCAAACGGATGTGAGGAGCCCCAGGTGGAATCCCAACCGGAGCCAGAAACAGATCCGGACACAGAAACAAAGCTCAATGCTGTTCAGGAACAACTGGAGGGGATGAAGGTGGAGGAAAGTTCTGAGAATCAAACAGAGTGAAGTCACCAGAATGTTCTTTTGATCCTGCTTCTTTAAAACGTTGAACCTCTCTATGATGGACCGAGAGTGTCATAACCACATGCTGGATTGAATTCCATGAAGGAAACTATTTTATATGCACAGCCCATACAGAAGCCAATAGGTCCTCTTAGAAGATGGCATAAAGGTCTTGAAGGTACTATCATCTGTGAATGTAGTTTTTCTCTTTGACTTTATTGTTCAGAACGTCTGACACCACATTCAAAATCTTCAAAAGGCTCTGAAATCTAACTGAACCAACATTTGTTGAGGGATTTGGAAAACTGACTTTGCACCAAGCAATATTCCATGGATTAAACCTAAGGCAATGTTCTTACATCATAAAATAAGCAGCATGGTGGTGCCCCAAATATTGATTTTACTCACAAGGTTAAATATTCAAGACATCTATTATGGTAAATTACATGTAATTATATGGGTGATCTAACTGTGATTCTCTAACATCTGAGAAGTTTCATCATCATCATACCTTTAGCTATGAAGTAGCATTTTATAGACTACTATTCTTCCGTTTCTGGCCTAATGAATGTACAGAGTAATACGCAATTAATGCACTCATTTTTTGTTGTTGCCAGGAATGAAAGAGGAAAGGCACATTGTTTAGTTAATTCACATGTATTTGCATATTATTCTTTTGCTTCTATGGTCAATGATTTTGGTTCCTGTTTGTGGTAATGTTTGTTATAATATGGTTTATTTTGTTTTCAAAGCTATTGTTGTTTATTCAATATCTGTATTTCCTGTTTCCTGTTCTGTTTGTCTTGCTATTGATGTCTGTACTTTCAGGGTTTGCTTTAACAAAAAAAAAAAAACTAAATTTTGAAACCACACCACAAAGAAGAAATTGTAATAATACCATATAATTTAATGAACATACATTTACACACAAATTCATAAAGTAGAAAGTGGAGAGTATGAGCATATACATGATCACAGTGTTATTACCAAGCAAACTGAACATAACCCAATTCGTGATGACGTACAATGTGTACATTATGCATCGCATCCACATATCTAGAGCAGACCATCATTTGCTAATATTCCAAACTTACACATTACACTGACTTTGCATTAAAGATTTTTGATTATTTATGTGCCTCATTTAGTAAATTAGCATATGACACAAAATTCATGATAAAAAAAAATTAGTGGGATTGATTCAGCGCAACTTTAAGCACATTTCCATATACTCAGTAATACCTTCAGCCTAGCAAATTAATATTCACATCTTCCATACACAGTAGCAGTGTAAACAATCATCACAATTGTTCACACCATTGCTATAAATTAAACATCTGAAGCACATTCTGTTAGTTATGTAGGACTATATTTCCTGCAATAACAGACTTTTACCCTCAACACATTTTTCAACACCAGTAGAGTTACTAACAAACAAATGATGAATGCATCTCACAAACATTCCAGTTCATACACTTCCAAATGCTTTAAGATGGCACTGAATGGGTAACCATTTTAAGCTGGCTTTTCCAAATCCTTAATTCACTTCTTAACAATACTGCCCTGTGTAGCTGGATATGATGAGAAACGCATGTTAAAAATATATTATCGGTCCCTGAAGTCTGTAGATGTGTCCCTTACAAGTGGCCATTAACATACCACAGTGAAATTAGTAACGGTGACTACATTGCACATTCGCTTCTACACTGGGGCAAGTTTTGCTACCTTAAACATGGTTAAAAGAATGTGTGGGAAAAGAAAAACAAGCACAATTTAAAGATATTTCTCAACTGAATGCAAGAGCATGCTTAAATGACACCAAAGATGGATTGGTCAACTAGCCGTTTCCATGCCTAGACTCAGGAAGGTTCATTTTCAGATGTAAACCTTATCTTTAATTTATTCTGTGTACAAACACGCCACTTGGCCTTGTGTTGAAATATCCAACTCATAGAGAAAAGGAAAGTGGGGAAATGGTGCTCAAATGCCAGGCGGTTGTGGAAAGACCTCCCTAAATAAGACAATATGGAGGGAACATATTAACTTAAAGATCAAAATAATCGTAATAACAAATCAGGCATGTCTTCCACTTCTTATAGGGAATTTGCAGCTTCTCAGTTACTTTTACAATATGTACATTAACTCCATGGCTTTTTTTGCGTTCTGACAGATCATTAGCATTGTATAAAAATGACATTGACTTGCATGTACAGGTATGAGTAGTATGGGGCATTATGGAGTCTTCTGTAGATGTAATGGTAGAGCATAGATAAGGCACTCTTACTGATGCAAATCGGCCTGTACTCACTGGCACATACATCTGACGGCCTTTGCTTTCTACCATCCATGCTGATTGTAAAATCAAGTCTGAGCTTAACTTTCTGAGTTAAATCACATTTATAACTGACCGACTTACTAAGCTGATCCAAATGACCCCATCAACAGAATAAAGCGGTTTTGTTGGGCCTAATGTCAGTTTATGACTAAAGCACTTTTCCTTATCACACTTTGAAAAAAGAAAGTCTAATCCAAAGGGCATTTTTCACAAACTACTATAGAAGCAAGTTATGGGTTTTACATGGCACACAAATGGTTAGGAATAATGGAGGCAGGCTATACAGAAACGGGTAATGACACTGAAAAAAACAACTGAACATTTCACAAGCTCTTTCAAGGGAAATAATGTCCTCATTACGTTTAAGGGTAGCCTATTCTAATCTGATTCAGTCTATGGCTCCCCATTTCCCTCAATGTGAGCTTCATCATGCTGTGATTCAGACAGGAGAGTCTCAAGACCTCCAGATCTAGTCTCGAGTGCTAGCGCAGGATCCAGGCAGGATAACTCGCTCTGCGAAAGAGTATCAGAGAACATAGGCCACTGTTTTGAAAGTCAGAGTCAAAACAGTTTTTCTGTGTGTGTTCCTTCATGTGAGCACATTCAGAAGTTTGAGAGAAGTCTAGAGAACGCAGCCTAAGCTAGTGGGTCGACTCTTTGATGACCCCAGGGGCGACGGCATTGGGGGAAGTTGGCGAGGGGGGTTTCTCATCTTTAGGGGAGGTGGCGCTCTTCTGGGTGCCTGAACCAATGCCAGGTTTGGCTTCATCAGGGGTGTGCTCATTGGGAATCAGGGGAGCTGAGGATTTCTGCAGGAAGTGCAAACACACCGTTATCAATTAAAGAGTGATATTCACAGGTATTGAATGTGTGAGTGCCATCGTTCTTAACCAGGGTTAAATGTACACCAGTAGGTACTTAAACAGGTTTCAGAGGGAACTTGGAAAGATTTTGGAAAGATTTTGCCCACCTAATCATATCATTACAAACTGCTTTGAAGCAAAAAGCTTTTTTTTTAAATCAGACAAAAAAACAAAGGTACGAGACTGTGTGAAAAATGAAAATTGTCATCATTTACTCACCCTCAATTTGTTTCAAACCTGTATGAGGTTTTTTTGTGTGTTTTTTGTTCTGCTGAACACAAAAGAATAAATGTTGAGAAATATGGGTAATTAAACAGTTGATGGGGCACCATTGACTTCCATAGTAAGGAAAACAATACTATGGAAGTGAATGGTGCCCCGCAACTGTTTGGTTACAAACATTCTTCAAAATATCTTCCTTTGTGTTAGGCAGAACAAAAACATTTATACAGGTTTGGGAAAAAATTGAGGGAGAGTAAATGATGACAGAATTTTCATTTTTGGGTCAACTATCTCTTTAACGGCTTTAATGAGGGAAAAACTACAATCCCAAAAAGCATTGTGAATGACGAATCATATTAAAATAATTGAGAAATAAAAAACTATTGATTTGTATAGTTCAATATATAATATTTGTTAAGTTTATTGAAAAATATGCATATTTGCTTTCAAATTTTTCAGTAGTGTGAGAGTGTGCAGAGAGACTAACTCAATTACATCATTCGCAGTGCTTCATGGGAGTTGGAAGCTGTTGGATGCTTATTTTGGTGCAATTTGCTTGTTTCGATTCTCTGGTTGGTGGAGATTTCTTTCAGAATCATGGGTAATGTAGTTTTTAACCAAGAATTCCATGGTTAAACATGATTATATATATATATTGTGAATATATGTTGTGAAATGTTGTTTATATATATATAATGTGATGGCTTCAACAAAAACATGCTATCAATTAACACGCTCATAGCTCACAGTAGGTCTGTCTTCAACAGTTTATAAGTTATCATTAAAAACCAATGAATTGCATTTATACTTTGGGAACCCTATTAAAGAGAGAGGAAACTACTTGATTCTTAGGTGAATCGTCAAAATAGTGGCCATGGCCAATTGATGATAATTCTGAATTGTCTTCACTATAATAAAAGTTAAAAAGGAAAAAAGGAGTCAAAATGGTTCTATGGGGTAACGTTAGGTGTTAACGTTAACTTTTTTTTTAAAGTTAGAAAATGCTTATCTAATGAAAAATAATCCTTTTATACAGACTGCACTAACAAAAAGCTATTTCTAGCCAATTAAATATTTTAGAGCCAAGCATAACTAGAAAAATATATAGAAGAAATGGTAAGAAATAACACGTTTAAAATTCCCTGACGTTTTTTTATGTTCATGGGAACCCTGATCCACCTGACCAAACATATTTACAGTTTTATTGATATATTTTTAGGGTCTTTACCAATATAATGGACATGCAGAGCTGTACAAACGTAAGCACTATGTCTATCTGCCCTATGAAAGCCACATCAAGCTAAAACCGCTTAATGCATTCATTTACTCCACTTGGTTCTTCCCTGACCTTCTAACCCGGCTCCCAGCTCTTAGGGTAATTGATTTAGGATATTTCTTGCAGACTCACTACTCAACGCACAGTAAAGCAGCCAGCAACATTTCTGCCTAATGTACACTGGCTTGTTCACTCACACACTCATAAAAAATGTCTTACTGTGGTTTGTGAAACAGGGTTGCTGCTCTTATTGGTAGAAGCAGGAGACGCATCAGAAGGGGCGGGGCTAGACGAGTCTTCCAGCATCTCACCTCTTCTGTCCAACACACTGGAAGGAGAGAAAGACAGAGATATATAATCCTGTGTTTAGAAGTGGCACAAACCATGTAGCATCTGCAGAGAAATGCTGGAGCTTTTCTCAAAACTAAAATTACTAGTAAAGGCATATCCAATGACATCCAAAGTACCAAAATACTTTTTAGAGCCACTGTATACAAGCAAAACTACAGTAATCTTCCTACCTGGGGTAAGCAGGGCCACACAGAACCTCACAGCAGTTCTTAAAGATGTTCTTGTGACTGTAGGGGTTCTGCACACGGTTCTTTCCCGACCACGAACCTTTGATCTGTGCAGTAGAGATGAAGGAAAACCAGCACAATGTCAGAACTGCTGTCACATTCTGATTCAACCTTCAACTGGATCTTCACTCTGATGTTTTATGTTTTAAAGCGTCCATGCAAATGAGAGGCTTGATAACAAATAATCTCTTATCCTTTATTCAAATGTGCTGTTTCTGTTCTAGCCATTCCTTCCCTATGGATTTCATTTGATCTAGTCAAGCACTTCAAGGTTCTTCATCTTAAAAAGTCACGCTGTTACTGTTTCATCTGCTCCTAGATAGAAATGCATGTATGCATCACAGGCGTTTCCTGCATGGTATTCCCCAACAGAAATGTTACCAGCTTCAGGTTTCAGTATGTAGTTTAGTTGTATCTGACTTGTATCTGCAGGTATTGATAAATCTATTATAAGCAGGAACCAATTTAAACATAATCAAAGGCGAACAGCCATCATGTAACATCATATTACTTGCAGCACTTGCATCCTTCTCTGAAGCCCTTTCTCACTCTTTTTTTACTCCTCATTAACAGGAAAAGAAGGGCCAGAGGGCAAATGTGGCATGAACACATTTTAAATTAATCATTAGGGCTAAGTGTGAAAGTGCCACAGAACTACAGATTATGCTAAACTAAATCAGAGCACTCAAACTGCTGCAGGGAATCTAAGTACTATATATGCAATATATATGTGTGCGTTTGTTCACTATATGAATTTGTTTGAGCACACGTTGTAGATATTTTTCATGAATAGGGTACACAAGAGGATGTGAAATTCTCAGTTTTTTATTTTCTTTTTATAAAATGATCCCCAAAAGGAGATGCTTAACCTTTAGAAAATGTTGATTTTAATTACTTTTAAATAAAAAACAGTTTTTTTTAATTATTATTATTTTTTATGAGGTTTGGAATTTTTGCACCCATTACTAAATTATTGTGTGACTTTGCAACCAAATATCCTTAATAAACCCTGATTTCTGTGCTTTTCTAGCTAATTAAAATGAAGCTTATGTAACCAGGTTGCAAAATGTATAATTAGACTAAATTTTTAATTATTAGACGTAGAATATTTAGATTTCATTCCAATAATAAGGAAAGTTATGTGGTAACAGCATTAGCTAAATGTGGGACTCAAATGTCATATTTGTTTGAAATTTTCTTTATTTTCTTTAATAGTTTTTCATTAATTAATAGTTCATAATCAAAATTAGCTTTAAAAAGATAAATGAGTTAAATATCAGTTCAACAGTTTGGATAGTCACAAAAGTAAAGAAATCAGGAGGCCAAAAATGTCATATTATGATGTGCATAAACATCTGATGCATTTAAAGCTTCTTTTCATGCAAGGTTAATCTTATGTTACATAATAGCTTATCTAACAGCAAACAAAAAAACATGGGATTTGTGCCTCTAGTGCTTTAAAAACGTAATGGGACACCACTGTGTACCCTGTTCATAAACAGTGCCATAAATACTGTATATACTGTACATAAAACTCATGTTGAGATGTTCTCTGTGCTTTCTTATTGCAGATAAGGCACTGTTGCCAAGGTGACTGCTGGATCTAGTGTGCTGAAATGCTCTAGGGCATGTGTTTATCTTTCCAGCCATGTGACAGCAGCAGGAGTCAAGAACCGACAATAGACTTTGGAACAGACAGGTAAGAAAAAGACTTACATCTTCATTGGTGGTCTGGTTGAGGGAGATCAAGTAGGTATGGAAGCCAGTCAATCCCACCACAGACCAGAGGGTGAAAAAACACACCAGAACCTCCAACACAGTGCAACGGGGAGTCAAGGACACATGCTCAAAAATATCGACAAAATGCTGAAAAAAAATGTGTTCTAACTTTGAAATATCTTTGTTCAGCAATACAAAAGGTGTTTGAAAAAAATATATGTGCTATGTGCCTGTTTAACTGTTACACAGATTGTACACAAACACTATGTTTAGCTTGATATATCATTCACAACATGGCAGGTTTATGAGGAGCTCATTTTGTTTTCAAGCCTTCAGCTAGTGGCTCTGGAGCTAAAATGAAAGGATATGTTCCAGGAGTTTCTTTAATGGTATTCACAAATCCTGAGTCCACAGATCCTATAAAACACACAAAATTGTATTTATTTACATTATGTATCCATGCATGCATTGCAAGCAGTAACTCACTGCATCAGAGGTCTCAGCATCTCACATTCTCTCTCCTATCATTACATGTTCAGAAGATTTTCGCACATCCACCCACACTCTGCCAGTGCTGAGAAGTTTGCACTGTCCGTTTACATTCACCTTTTCAACCACAGTAGCTGCGTTTGCATTCAGCCTCGTAATGTGATGAAGGAATAGTTTACCCAAAAATGAAATATTTGTCATTATTCATCACCATCAAAGGCTAGCAAACTGAAAGAATAAAAGACATACTTTAAAAAGCATCAGAGAGTAGTCTGTTGCATAAATATACAGTATCTAAGATTTTGTCATTATTCACTAATGTATTGACCGACTTAGTAGCTCTCAAATTGAATATGACACCTATGGTGAAGGTTTGGCATGATGACATTTGGTTATGCGATAATTTAGAACCAATGACGCTTGATGTTATTGATGTCCAACCTGCAATTTAAACTTAAATATCGTTCTGTGCATCATACAAAGCAATCATATGGCCTCAGGAGACTTGTATAATACAGAGCACATTTTAGGGTCATTTGCAGTGTTAAAAAAAAAAACATTGGATCTTGAAAAATATGTTGTGAAGATTATTTAAAAATTCTATTTTTGTGTTCCACAGGAAAAATAACAGCATACCGGATTGGAATGACATGAGGGTGAGTAAATAATAACATAAGTTTTAGTTTTCAACTAACTATTCTTTTAATAAATACGATACTGATATCTCAGTTAGAATGAAGTGTTCAAGTAGATCATATTTTTCCTCAATCTGAAAATATGATCTAACTGTCCTCAATCCAAATTAAATTAAAGACAGATTGAAAGAGGTGGTGTATATCTTAACCTGTACAATAACTGCCATGTAAACCTTTAAATACACCAGCTTTCACATTCAGATTAAAAAGTACCTCGTATGCAGCGCAATACAGCTGGAGTTGGAGTAACCTACTGTGTCTACAATGGAAGAGACCGATGACTGCAGATACATAGGTAAGAATTATATTAGATTAAATGATTTAAATTAATAGGCCAGACATTGGAAACAGCATAAGCTGGATTCGATGAAAGGTCGGAACTGATTTAAAAACATAATGAAAAATAAAAGCACATATGATATTTGTGGGGAAAAAATAGTGTATTTCAAGTGGATCTGGGAAATAAAGTGATTGGCCTCACTCTTCAAACATGCAACATGCGCTTACAGTGTAGACAGCTTTGTTTATTATAATAAGAGAGATCTCATTTTGTTGGGTTGCGATGCCTACATGATGTGTGAGTAAGGCTTTCTTTGACAAGACTCATAAGTTTCTTGTTGCTATGGCAATGTTGACACGAAAAGCAGCTTTTCGAATGCACAGGCATTTTGTTTAATGTACATGTAATGCACAGTAAACAGATATCTCTGTCTATACAGGTATACTCTATAAACCAGTCAAACTGAAGATTTTGTAAAGTTATTCAGACTAAAATCTGTGCACGTAAACAGTGTCATAAAAAACAAATGACTGAATTATATCTCAGTTATGATGCGTTTTACTTTGATATCGAGATCAGAGGCTCGGAGCAAATTGTCCAGGCAATTAATGTGAATTCTGCTGCTCTCTCATCCTTGCAGTCTATGATGCACTTTGAGAGGGGGAAGATCAAAGAGAGCAAACATTTACAAGAGCATAAAGGCTCTTCCAATATCCTAAACGCAGCCGCACTGAACCACACCTGAGAGAACAGCATTCGAGTACATATTGAGTGTCGCTTAAAGGCACTTGTTTTCCCAGAAACCTCGATTATTAAACCGGTGTACCGTCTGTGCATTTTAAATGGTTATCGATAACATGAAAATTTAATTCCCTCTTTCAAATAATCTGTTTTTGGATGTCTACACTAAAGATACATATGCACACCTATACACTCATACACAAACACATTTTCTTGCTGTGATACTCACGTAGAACCACATGAACGATGTCGAAGGCGAAGATATAGATGGTGAGTAGAGACAGCGAGAGTGTAAACAGGTAGAAATATCGGTAATTCCTCTTTCCTACGCAGTTTCCGACCCAGGGACAATGATGGTCAAACCGGTCTGAGGGAAGACACACAGAACCTTGAGACATTACAAACAAAATTTCTCATAACAATTTGTGAAAGCCTGAAAGTCAGTTTCTACATTCTGATGGTGGATCCTCTGACAGAGACGGTCAAAATATCCTAGCTGCTAAAAATATCTGGAGATGGTACCCAAACCAGAGATTGTATGTGTGGCAGGTGCAGGCCGCCCAAACAAATGGCCCTGTGTTCAGGATGACTGTGCAACGAGAGCAAAACTGAGCCATCGGTGAACTCTCTAATATCAGCCTATGTATGTGTGAGCGAGTGAGTGTGCTGTCTGACTCATCTCTCAACAATTCACTATTATACTGGAGTGTCAAATGGCACGTACAGGTGCAACTATATCAAAGGTAAGAATTCTTGTGTGTAGACATAGTAAAAAAGAGGAAATTAGCATTACATTTATATATATACAGTACTGTGCAAAAGTCTTAGTCACGTTAGTATTTTCACACAAGATAAGCCAGTTATTTATATCTTTTGCTGTAGTGTGTCAGTAGGAAATATCAGTTTACATTTCCAAACATTCCTTTTGCCATTAATTTTAATAATCCAGTGAGATTTTTGTATGCCCGAGGAGTCTGACATCAGCCGGTATGATCCACACTGAGATCTGATCTCACCATCATGAGTCCGTCTGTGATTACATGAAGAAACTGAGACAGACTAAATCCAGAAGAACTGTGGCAATGTCTCCAAGACACTTGAAGAAACTTACCTGCAAAGCTACAGTACTGAGAAATGTTTTAGACACGGAAATGCTGTAAAGTGAGGATGCTTTCAAAACAAAATCATAAATAGATTTTATTTATCAATTGCCTTCTATTAGCAAAATCAAATCAATATTTGGTGTAACCACCCTTTGCGTTTAAAACAGCTTTTGTCCAGATGGTGAGATCAGTGTGCGATTTTTTTTAGTGTCACTAAAGAAATTATTCTAATATGCTGATTTGGTGCTCAAGAACAATGTAGTATTATTATCAATGTTTGTTATCAATGTTTTTTGATGATCAGGAAATTCTAAAGAGCAGCTTTTATAGCATTTATAATATAAATCTTTTGTAATATTATAAACGAGACACTTATCACTGTAAAGCTGCTTTGAAACAATCAGTATTGTATAAAGTGATAAATAAATAAAGGTGACTTGACTATAATTGTCACTTTTGATTAATCTAATGCATCCTTGTTGAATAAAAGTATTCATTTCTTTTTTCTTTTTAATTACTGACTACCAAAATTCAGTCATTTAGAAAAAAGCATATGGAAGTAAAATAATGACAAATGTTTTTGAAACAAAAAAGCTTGTTGAATTGCACAACTTGAAAAAATATGCATTGTATTTTTAGGGCTTGCATTTTTATGGACTGAAACATGGTTGTATATCCCCTGCGGTCAGGACACTTAAAGTAACTCAATGAACAAAATACAGTGATATAAAAGACCAAAATCCCTCCTTATTGGAGATGTAGGCTATATTATTAGGAGGAGCATTTGAAGAGAATGACTTACAGTCATACCAACTGTAAATTGTTCATGTATGTGTCAGGCATGATGCACACTTGTTAGATAGTTGATATTAAAATAAATATGAACTGAAAATGGAATATACTGAAAAAATAGCAATATGTACACATGATTTGCCAGTTTATTTGATTAAATATCAAAAATCTAAAATGTGTGCATCATGCCTGGCACCTACATGAACACTTTACAGTTAGTTTTATGACTAAGTCATTCTCTTCAAATGCTATTGAAGTTAGAAACATGTGTACCAATGTCGTATGTAACTTTAGAGACGGTCCCAATGTGCGAATATCAGTGTCAAGCCAACTTTATGCCAGTATTTCACTCAAAATCGCTTAGCGTGAAACTTTGTCCACTTGCCTGTTCCTATATCTAGTATACCCTACATCCCCAATCTTTTATATCACTGTATTAGTCCATTAAGCATTAAGTGTCCTGACCGCAGGGGAATCCTGGAGAGTGATGTATTGAGGGAATCCCCAGTTCTGCAGCACAGCACCTCAATATAAAGTTAAGAAAACTAAACAACCGAGAGAAATATATGTCTACTACCTCAGATTTAACGTTTGATCTGCACATCAGCATTGGGGAATAACATAATCTCGTTCACGGTCGAGAAAGCTGCATACATGTACAAAAGTAACCGTGAATACTTGATGTAAACACAGCTTTTGTGTCTTTATCAGCTTTTCCATATACTGGCCCTGAAAATCATCACAAATACTTACTGCTTGATCCATTTCTGTAATTCCGTTTTTAATAATGAAAACCTGTGTGAAATGTTTTGAATTGAAATATTCACATATTAAATATACAACCGTGTTTAATTTCAGCCCATAAAAATGCAAGCCCTAAAAATACAATGCCTTAAAATGCAAGCAGGGTTAATGCAATGCATATTTTTTATAAGTAGTGCAATTCAACAAGCTTTTTTTGTTTAAAAAATATTTGTCATTATTTTACTTCCATAAAAGCACACACTATTTGAGGTACCTTTCATAGCTGTAGTACAAAAGGTTAAACACTCACCCACACAGTTGTCACAGATGCTGCAGTGGGAAGCACGAGGGGGTCTGAAGATCTTGCAGGTGTAGCAGTACTTCAGCTTGACGATCTGGTTGTTAATTTGCACATTCTTGATGCGAGGCGGAGGCCGCTGTCCAGCCAAGACGTTCCCATTGGCCGCTTCTGCAAGAGTTGGGTAGAAACAATAAACGTGGCAGCCAAGCTCTCCATATGCATGACACACCGCACAGCCACTGATGGAGGACTCACAAGGCTCAAGGGCACTCCAGGTAGTATGACTCAATGACACAAGACACTTTATAGGAATAGGTCACCCTCAAATACAACAGTTAAAGCATAATGATGTTTGTACAAAAGTTCAATGTTAAGATGAAAGAGATTAAAATGCTCTTCTTAGAGTAATGATTTACCAGCTCAAAGTGAATATAAAAAAAAAGGATTTCAAAGGAAATTATTAGAAAATATGAAAAGGGTTAAGCCAGTCATTATCACAAAATAAACCTTTAAGAGTAGTCAAGACCAAATCTACATGACATATTCATTTAAATTATCATGATTTGATTTACAGTTTGGTGATCATTATTTAAAAATATTTGACCACAAAATGATGCAATTGACCAATGCAAAAGGCATGTAATAAATTCTGGGGTGTACATATTAAAGATAAATTCTTTTGGTGATTTTTGCCTTTATTGTAATAGGATAGTATAGAGTGGACAGGATGCAAGGTGAGAGAGAGAGAGAGAGAGAGAGAGAGAGAGAGAGAGAGAGAGAGAGAGAGAGAGAGAGAGAGAGAGAGGACGGGATCGGGAAAGGTTCACGAGCCGACATTTGAACTTGGGTCGCCCGAAGCGCAACAGCGCTATATGTCGGCACTGCCCACGAGGCTATCGGCACCGGGGATGTACATATTAACACAAAACAAAATGACAACTTTTTCATGATTTCTTGTCTCCTTGGATCTGGATGCTTTAAATGCAGATCCAGACCACTGATATAAGAATTTCATCTTTTCTACTCCCTCTCCTTTATTTGCATTTGCTCAAAATGACTCATTTCATCTGTTCTGATAGCGCTTTTTTTACATTACAAGACAAGACTCGAATTTCATAATGCAGTGGAAAAAGGTAATTTAATTTCCTTTGTCAGCTCTGTACTTTTATACTCTGCTTATATATACTTATATACAACTGCTTATATGTCTATTGCTTTGGCAATATTGTGCTATTGTACACATTCATGCCAATAAAGCTGAATTGAATTGAATTACTCCGGGGAAGTGGCTGCATTAGCATTTGCTCCCGAGGTAGAACTACACTGCCTCCTAATCCACATGCCAGCCAAGGTTGGCTAAAACTGCACATCCGTACTTGCATCTGATCCAGCATTAGCCACTTTTAATCAGCAACACAGACATTCATCTAAAAATAGCATATTAAAGCTGGGATGTTGAAATCGAGCAGAGACGGCAGAGGAAATTTGTAGAAATCAATCTTTGCTCTGCCCTGCTGCAGCACTCAAACATAACTGCCCTGTTTTAGGAGGGTACAGTTGAATCAATACCAACATTTTGGCTTTGGTATGATAGCGGACTCAAAAAAACAAACAAAAAAACAGCCTTGAGTGACTGATGAATTTAAATTAAACCAGGGCTTTCAACACATTCAACAATTCGCTGTAAATAATTTGTGAAAAATGTTGTTGTTGTTGTTGTAATTAACCTGATAATGCATTAAGTTCCTTTTTACTTACCAGCTATAATACTACTTTCTTCAAAAATGTATTTCTACGCAAAATGTCTCTGTCGCCTCAATATACAAAATAAAATGATTTAATCAATTTCACTTAATCTACTGACTTTTACTTAAATTACAGAATGAAAAAGATCTAATAAATTTGTAAAAAAAATATATATATATATATAAATATATATACAAAAATAGGGCTGTCAATCAAATTAAACTACTTAAATTAATTAATCTAATTAATTCAAGTGACCTTGAAAAAAATCTTTATCTTTAATCCTTATCCAGTAAATCAAAAACAACTGGAAAAGTCATAGGGCCTTCCAATATCAACAAAAGAGGGTTGAAAACCACTAACTTAGGAGCTGTTCATACTGGACATGTTTTTTTAGATGTTTCTAAACTTCAACATTCATTTAAATCTATTCATTGTTATGCTTTTATGCCTGAATTTGCAATACGATGTTATTATAGTGCTGTATATTTTTTTTACCATTTAATGTATTTAGTACCAGTATACAACACAACCCTATTAGAGAGAGCTGAAGAACAATTCTAAATGTGAATATGTTCCACAAAATCAGTGAAAATAGGGGTTAGTGTATATTTAATAATACAAGAGGTTACTGTGAGTTATCAGGGTTAAAGGAAATGATGTCCTGGTTTATTGAACATCAATAATAACAAATGCTGTACCGCCCAAAGGCACCTCTGAGCGTCAGCGGAGGTGCTGCTGATGTGTAACAATGGTTACACAAAGAGAAATCCAGGGAGGGGAGTTGGGATGAGGCCGGTGGAACAGAAAGAAGAGAGGGTGGAGAGTGTAGGGAGATGAGTTCATCTCAACTGTAGCCCAGATCTTGTAATCAGTACAGGGAACGGTGACACGCTGGTGACTGAACTAGACAAGGCACTATTTCCACAGAGCCACAACCACACAAATGAATCACTAGAAGCGAAATTATCAAGATGACAGCAGCAAGCTCATCTAATCTAATTGCATTTAATTAGTCAGACGCAGTGACGTTAACCTTTGTGACATTCAAAGTAGTACAAGTTTGCAACAAAAAAAAAACTATAAATAAACATTAATTCCTTATTATAGTCCTATTTTCTTAAAATGTATATTTTTGCTGCAGGGTAAATGGGCATTTTTGACTTTCTCTCTCTCTCTCTTTTTTTGCAATAAAATCCAATGGGCATTTCAGTTCACTTGAATCACTGAGGAAGACGACTGAAAAAGGTCTAAGGCAATCTACTAAGGCAATTTCTTTCACCCTATAACAATGAATGTTTGAGCAGATAATTTAAGTCCAAGAAAAATCCTTGCCATTTAAAAAAAGACAAGACAAATGTCTCCGGTAAGTCCTAGGATTTGAATGAGCCTTAACAGTTTCTGCCAAACACCACTGCAAAAGATATAACTTCCACTCAGTATAGTGATAACACTGGTTTCTGTTCAAGGCAGTTGACGTGCAATTGTGTGGGTGTGCACAAGTCATGTGAAAAATATCTGTTATTATATTTTATTTTACTTTTTGTGCCTTTAATGAATACTGAAGAGAAGAAAAACAGGAAAGTGTAGAGGGAGAGAGAGAGAGGCAGGAATGTGGTTGGATCAGAAATGCATGGATAAGACTCAAACTTGCACTCTCCTTCAGCTCAAGTCCACTGTAGCTGTGAAATCTCACTTGTACATATTCAGAATTATGTGGGACTATTATTTTTTTAAGAGACTTAGGAGAACAAATCATTTAAAAATTGGTGCGTTGCATCTTGAGTTGGCAATATGAATATATACATGTACAAATAAAAGTAGTTGCATTTAGGGGAAATTTTCCAGTGAATAACGATTCAAATTTCGGCTTGTTCCTAACACAAAGGGGGTTATGGTATTTTTATTTAAAGGAATTAAATAAAGGAATTTAAGATAATAAAGAAAAGGAAAGTAGATCATCAAAAGAACCAGAATTTATTCTAATAAACTTTAAAAATAATTATTATTTCTTTGATTTGATTGGGCATCTCAATCATTTTGACATTGACGAGTACTGTTATAGACTCCTGCGGCAGACCAGCCTAAAAATACAACTTTTAAATCTTTTTGTCATTCAAACAACAAACAGTGTATTGTGTAATGGAGTGCAGCAGAGAAGCATCAAGAACAACAGATATTGGGAGGGGGCAATTATACAGTATATATATACAGTCCATCAAGCTTGAAGTCAAGAAGAACACAATGTTTCCCAGATGAACTCAGAGTTCATGGTCCAACGCACTCAGCTTTTTAATCGCAAAACAAAACGATAAATTAATAAGCAGGTCTGGGCTTACACCGTCCCACTTACGCCACACGCCTGCTGACGGCACTAATGGTTCAAACTATGGCATTAAACCTCAAATACCCTTCCCTGAACTCAGTCAGCCTCACACTCACCGATCTCCATCTCAATGAAGTTGGCCTCCTCCGGCAATGCCCGTGGCAGCACCCCTGGATCACTGAAGCTGGTTCGGAGCAGCATGGCCATTACAAAGACGAAGAGCAACACTGCAAACACAGGGATGGCCGGAGACAGGTGCACTGCCAGGTACGGGCACCTGTACAGGACAAGAGAACAAGCAGGGTTACAAAAGATGACAAGGAGAACATGAAATGAACAGTACAGAGGTTAAATGAGCATATAAAGCTAAACAGCGATCTCTAGTTTCAAAAGGTGAACTGTGGAATTTCTGTGCTATTAATGCCACAAAACAAATTAGGAAACTGTTTGAGCAACCCAACAGCAACATTAGCTCAGCCAATGCAGTGAGTTTGGGGATGGGACTATCTGCTTATCTAAAGCCGGGTGCACACTGTACGATTTATAATAGTACCTTGCGACTGTTGCTTCTCAGATTGTACAAACTTGATCCCCACTGTAAGCCATGTCACACTGTAAGATCTCAGTTGTCATTAAAGTCAGACCGGCAGTCAAGAAGAGTTAAAAATGGACACAAACAAGAGAGTTTTACATCATCAATCCGTGCCATGTTCGGTGACTGTGAGCTGCATTTACATGGGGATAGAAATGGTGGCTAGCAAACAAAAAGCGTTAGTTAGCGATAATTTTGGATCATGGCTTTTCTTGAAAAGAAAACTATGGAAAAAAAGTAGATATGTGTGTGGAGAAAAGAGGAGATCATTGATGAAGAGGGTTTGTAATATCTGTCTGGCTCAGTTCTTCCCTAAAGACAGTCTTTTCTAAGCCCACAATGAAGCAGTCAGGGGGGATGTTTACGACTGACTGTGCTTTCTCCATTCCCGCAGGCACACAGCCATACAGCAATAAATTTGGTTGCTCCCATAAATTGCGGATGACTTGGGTCCTGTAAAAGTGCCTCCCTATGCTCAGCCTGCAGCAGATTGGTCGGATCCACAGGCCACTGCATAGAGCTATTAATAGGGTCACCCTGACTCTCCTCCACCACTCTCTCCTGCAATGTAGATCTGCTATACTAATGTATGGCTAATACATCACTAGAATGGTACATCTTATCACAGGTACAGTACATTCCCTCTCAGGGGGAAATTTGCTACACTTAGCATTCTGCGTGTGAAAAGGACATATTTACAGTAACAACAACTACAATAATACAGTAAGACAAGATTTGACTAGTCCAGACAATACAACAATACAAAGAAGTAGACTAATAAAAATGCGAGGTGTGTTTGCCTGTGCAAAAGTTGCATAGTATGATACTATGGAGTTGTGGGAGGTTGCTTACATGCAATTTAAGACAGTGGTTTTGGTTCAGGGACTATTATTATTTTAGAATTGTTTATACTATTATAAAAAGTATTAATAATTTTGAATAAACTTTTATATTTTCAGTTTTCATCATGGTAAATTTATACACTGTAAAAAAGTATTCATGATTTGTTATCACAACTTTTTTTCTTTAGTCAAATCAACTTAGAACTTAGTTAATGTGGTTCAGATAAATTAATATTTTGCGTTTCTGTTGATTAAAACAATCTCCATTGTATTCATTAAAAATTTTAATTTCAATGAACTTGAAAATTAAGGCAACCAGGTAACTTACTTTTTTAAGTTAAACCAACAAAAATTTTAACGGTGGAGTTTTTAGTAATTTTGTTATTTGGTCATTTTAAGTTAACATTTCTACATAGAGCTTCCATTTGTTTTTATTTCAGTTTTAGTTTTAGTAATTTTAGTACAAAAAAAGGAGCAATTCTAGTACGTAACTTGAATGTATTTATTTGAATGCCAAGGCAACCTTTCTTATATTTGCTTATGCGTTTAATGTAATGTAATTTATATTTTCCTTTATTTCAGCTTTATTTCATTAAACGATTTTTAATAGTATTAGTTAACAATAACAACACTGCCAGGGACCCCTTGGGGACCACAAGGGAATGCTAGAGGTTCCATTAGAGCATTGGTTTTCAATTCTGGCCCGGGACACACACCCAATCAGGTGTTAATTAAGAGAGAATATACCAAATGGACCATGACTGAAAAAAAAGTAAAAAAAAAAAAAAGACTTTCACAGTTGTACATTCACGAGAAACTATTTCAGTCTTTCTTCAAAATGTCATGTTTAATTAAATGTGTTACTTGCCATTTCTTTAAATTTAATTGTGAAATTTACTAGCAGTTTCTGAGAGAAAATTGTTTCTAATTATTTTCTGTGTATAGATCTAAAAGTACTCTGATGGTAGAACAAACTTTAGTGTATATTTCACAGGATAATATTTTACACATTTATAATATTTTTTATAATGTTTTTATTTGTCGCAAGTCTAAGACACTACATTTATTCCCTGTAGTCTGCAAGGCAAAAATCGTACATCCAAATCCCTAGTAGCACATTTTTCCTCAACAAGCCACATATTTAGATGCATCATTAACACAAACAGATTTACACACTGAAGTTAAATACTTTTGGAGAGTTTGACTTATCAAGCACTATACTTATAATACACAAGATGCATATAGAGTTTTATACAAACTATGTGCCAATCTAATCTTCCTACAAAGCACACAGAACACCGGTTTAACCTGTCTACAAGCAGGGTTTGTCTCCTCACACGTCATACTTACTGCTTTAGGACCAGCACACAGTACAACAGATTGCACCCGTAAGAAATATTAGCAACAGAAAGATAATTTCCAGTCAGACTACATGGTACAATTTGAGCCGTTTCACACACTGGTGTGTCAGCATACCAGAGCCATCAATGAATTCTACTTGTGGGACGGGTCAGATTAGTTTGATCCATTTTAAACTATGAGACTGGAAAACATAAAGAGGACCGAGAAAAAATCCAGAGCAGAGCTGGTCGATAAAACTTTCCACTGCCCGGATCATGAGTAGAAGGCTGCAGGGAAATTCATTTATTATTTTGAAAGCTGTGTTGGGGCAGAGAGGAGCAAAACTATGTGTGTGTGTGTGTGTTTGACTTTAACCATCCTGAACCTGTGCCATCATCAATTCCTATCACAGCCCTGAGCTTCCCGGACATTACCCATCATGCAGTGCTGGATGTGACTTCTCTCCCTATAATCAATACCAGAGATAAGCAGCTCCGATATTAAAGATTCTGCTATCGTCACTACTGACGTACAAGGTTTATTTAAGCACCATAATTATCACTTAACTTCCTCCATAAAAAAACACAGCAAGTATTGTGCCTCAATATGCATAATCAACACTTAACTGTTGAAAATCAACACAAATTCCCATTCGCAAACCATTTGACTATACCATAAAGAGGCAGTTCTGGAACAGGATATTCAACTGCAAAAAATGTAGGGCGGTAATCAATTGAATCACAACAAAATGGGCGTATACCACATATACCACAATGGAGCTAGACTGAATGAGAGTTTGCGAAACAATTCCTAAATAGCCATTTGGCTACATGGTTAACATTATCAATCTGTATCAGTCCAAGTTATTTCATTCTAATTCAAGGGTACAAAGAAAAAACATTGTTGTGTCTGAAATAACACACCAAATGAATAGTTCACAATAGGATCAGAAACATGCATTACTAAAGTAAACGTGTGGACTTAAATGCAACAAAATGGGGGAAATTTAGTGGAAGACTCATAAAAATGGTATCAAGACAATTAAACACTTGTAGTTCAAATCATGCACACGCTAATCCACTTGTGTCACTGTTACAGCATCTCCACCATTCAGTTTGCCTTTACAGCTTGTCCTTAGTGAATTACTTGCACACTGTTCCACAGAGAATAAAGTGAAAAGGACTGTTTTCCACAGTTAAGACAACTTGAAGCACAACTGCAGAGTTTTATGGCTGGCTATATGGAAAGGCTTATCTGTGTGTTGGTAAAATCAATAGAGCTGCTTCATCGGTCTGGCTGGTCTCTCGGTGGAGATCGGTGGGGGCAGGGAGGCTGACAATTATCATAACTGATAGCATTCAGCGCAAACATCCGGTACTCAACCGGAAAGTAACATGAGGGGGAAAAAAGACGGATGATAGCTAAAAACAACATGTAGATTCATTGTGGTCCAGTCAAATCTGAAAAATCTTTATATACTTATATACAGTATTGTGTGTGTGTGTGTGTGTGTGTGTGTGTGTGTGTGTGTGTGTACTCTAATACAAGACATACTATAAATATAATGGTGTACTCTGTATCTCACAATGTGATTACTGTAAATTCCTTATTTTAATCTTTATCACACAATTACCTTTTCTATTTTTGACTCTGAAACAAACGTCCATAACAGATACACCAAATACTGAGAGAAAGATTTTCTACTTGTTATACTTCTAAAGATGGAAACATGCATTGATGTATAAATAAATAAAACCAAAAAGTAGGTCAAACTCTTAAGGCGTGAATGGTCCTGCAAGTCCTGGGCAAACATTCAACATGGAAATAATGACCTTATCCTTCTGAATTTTGCATTGCAAAACTTATTGATATGATATTAAAGTAGTATGCAATAATAGCGCTAACAAAAACAAAGTGGGGAAAGATTTGCAAGAGAACAAATAAACTGCAATCTCACATCTAGATGTGACATCAGTGGCTTTCTCTGTGTTAAAGTATTTCAGGAAAGCTTAAAATACAGGTGTAGATGATCTGATAGTACAAAAAATACAAAAGGTAATTTCAGCTGTTTCACACAGATATAAAAATGCTGTAATGTACAGTGACATTGCTATGCCCGAAAATTTAAATCACAGCCTCTGTTAATTCTCATAAAGTGTTCAGCAATTTAAGAGCAAGTGATTCAGCAAGCAAAAGAAGCTTGAAATGAATTATTACACATTACTGTCAAAAAAAGCAGTAACCTAATCTCTCATAAAGTCAAATTTGCCACAGCTCCAGTTTTGCATTCACATAAGACAGGGACACAAAAATCCAAAAGGATAAACAGTCTTCTCTCCTTTATCACGACCCCTGCAGAGGGACAGCAACAGACGGCAGCCCTCGAGAGCTCACACAGACCGTGACACTGACCACAAGTCATACAGTTAATTCAACAGCAACAACATGAGTATCCAACATTCAATTACACAAAAAATGTATAGACATTTAACTGCTGAGCAA